TGTAGCTCCCCCTTGATCTGCGCAAGGATCAAGTGCTCTCTATGGGTTGATTCTTCGACACTCCATCACGGTGAATCACCCACAATCGCTCACAACTTGAGTTGGGTCATCCACAAGCTCCGTCGGATGATCACCAAGCTTTCAATCACCACCAAGCCATCTAGATGATGGCGACCACCAAAAGTAACAAGCACAAACTCTCACTTGACCACGACAAGCCTAATGAGAAGGGTGGATGCACACTTTGCTACTCTTGCTTTCACTAATGAGGCCTCTCTCTTAGATTCTCAAATCTCAATCACCACACTAGGACCTTGCTCTTCTTGGCACTCTCAAGGGTGTTTCTTAGCTATTGGAATGAGCAAAAGTGATCCCTCACACGAATGGAGGAAGTATTTATACACCCTCATTCAAAACGAACCGTTATATGCCACTGCGGGGTGACCGGACGCTCCGGTCAGTTCTCCCCAAAACCGAGCAGTTAAGTGATGACCGGACACTGACCAACGTCCGGTCAGCACTGATCGAACGCATCCGATCATGAAAACCGCTCTCTAGAACCTTACTAGAGTTGACCAGACGCTGGCACCCAGCGTCCGGTCGCTTTTCAACTCAGCGTCCGGTCACACCAAACGACTTCACCTTGATCAAATGAACTGACCAGACTCTACGCCAGTGTTCGGTCACACCGGAACCAGCGTCCGATCAACATTTGACCCTCCGTTCACTTTCAACTCGCAATCATATGTGAATGAAGCTTGCTCAAATTAATCTTAGGGCTACTTAGGAGCTACCTAGTGCTAGATTTGACAAGTGTGCACCACACCTAACCCACAAGACTCATCTAGGTCAAGCTACTAGTCCATACCCCCTTAATAGTACGGCCAAAGGAAAAATAAAGTCCTAAACTACTCTAAGTGTCTCTTCAACACTAAACGGCACTTAGAACTAGTCCATCTTTAACCTTGTCGTCCATCCTTTGAAAACCAAAACGATTTCCATCGTAGGGGCATGACAACCATGATTGCCCAATCAATTTCCATTACCATGACCTAACTTAATTGCCTCTACAAAACACACGTTAGTCATAGTAATCATGTATTGTCATTAATCACCAAAACCCAACTAGGGGCCTAGATGCTTTCACATGGCGACGCCGGCCTCGGTGATAACGTGCCCCAGGTAGGAGATGGAGGCGACCCCAAAAGCGCACTTAGAACGCTTGACGAAGAGCCGGTGTTGCAGCAGCACGGTGAGGACGGCACGGAGGTGCTAGAGGTGATCCGCTCAAGATGAGTTGTAGATGAGGATGTCATCAAAAAACACGAGCACAAACTGGCGAAGGAAAGGGCGCAGGACGTCGTTCATCAGCGCTTGGAACGTGGCCGGAGCGTTGCACAGCCCAAATGGCATCACCAGAAACTCGTACAGCCCGTCATGTGTGCGGAACGCCATCTTGGCGATGTCGGCGGGGCACATGTGGACCTAGTGGTAGCCCAAGCGGAGGTCCAGCTTGGTGAAGAACTTGGCGTCGTGGAGTTCGTCTAGCAACTCGTCAACCACCGGGATGGGAAAAGCATCCTTGACGGTGATCGCGTTCAAGGCGCGGTAATCGACGTAGAAATGCCACGACCCGTCAGCCTTCTTGATGAGGAGGACTGGGGAAGAGAAGACCGAGGAGCTCTAGCGTATGAGCCCCTAGTCCAGCATGGCGGCGCATTGCCACTCCACCTCGTCCTTGTGCATCACCGGGTACCGGTAGGGGCGGACCGCCACGGGCTGCGATCCTAGTAGGAGGATGATGTTGTGGTCTCGGCTACGAGGAGGAGGCAGCCCGTGGGGCTTGGCGAAGACATCGGAGAAGGAGTTGAGGAGCTCATCCAGCAGGGTGGCGCTGGCAGTAGTTGCACGGAGGCCAGGTGCGGCAGGGCCTGCCATCCCATGCCAGCAGACGTCACGCGCATTCCGCTTGAATGTCATCGTCTGGGCGTGGAAATCCCAGAGGATCGGCCCCAGCGACGCGAGCCACTGCGTGCCAAGGACCACGTCGTAGCCGGCGAGAGGCATGACGAACAGGTCTATGGCGAAGGTGTCGCCACTGATGGTGAGCGTGGCCTGGCGGATGACGCCTAGGCAGGAGATGCGCTCGCCGTTGGCCACCATGGCCGTCAGGTGAGGATGGTGCTGCAGAGGAAGTCCTATGCGCTGTGCGGCTGCCTCGGAGATGAAATTGTGGGCCGATCCGGAGTCGAGGAGTGCGATGAGGGACGTGTCGCCCAGCGCGACCTGGAATTGCATTGTGTCGCTGAAGTGGACGCCGGTGATGGCGTGGAGCGAGAAGTGGGGGCTCATCTCGGTGGCGCCCTCTTCAACGTCCTCGTCGTCCTCCACAACGCCCTCCAACAAGAAAAGGTGCTTGCAGACCCGGTTGTGCCCCCGGCCGAACTTCTCGTCGCAATTGTAGCAGAGGCCCAAGCGACGGCGTTCCTCCTGCTCAGCCTGGGTGAGGCGCTTGACCGGCCGGCCCTCCACGGTGACTGTGGTCGGGGCGGTCGAGGTGTTCACGGGCGGCGCCGGTAGAGCAAGACGCGGTGCGGGCGTTGGTAAGAGTGCTCGGGGCGCCACGTACTGCTCCGGCGAGGGACTGCAGATTATGCACCTCGACGTCGAAGCTGAGCGGCGGTTGGAGGCCCGCGGTGAAGAGCTGGACCCGTTGTTGCTCGTCCAGGCGGCCCTCGCGAGGGAGGAGCGCTTGGAAGCGATCCTAGTACTCCGCGACGGTGCCCATGCGCTTGCACGCCGCTAATTCGCCGAGCGGGTTCGAGGGTAGAGGAGGTCCGTAGCGCAGGTGCAGCAGGTCCTTGAAGCGGCGCCACGACGGAATTCCCTCGTCCTGTTGTATCTGGATGTACCACATCTGGGCACCTTCCTCCAAATTGTAGGAGGTCATCCAAACCTTCTCCTCCTCCCTGATGCGCTGCTGGTGGAAGTAGGATTCACAGCGGTTAATGAAGATGAGCGGATCGGATTTGCCGTCATACTGTGGAAAATCCAATTTTCTGGAACCGTGGCGGCCGGTCCTGGTGGAGCTCCCCTGTGGCGGACTTGTTGCCGGAGGAAGACGACAACGGTTGGGTAGCGTTCAGGCGTTGGATCGCCGGAGAGTTGGCATCGACTGATGCCTGCAGAGAATTGAGGGTGGCGGCCAGGGCGTCCAGAGTAGCCTGTAGGGCGGCCTCCCGGTCTCCCATGATAGCGGCTTGGTGAGGGGTGGGCAGGGCAGAAGTAGCTCGGAGCGGCGGCGGAGGCGAGGATGAGCGGCTAGGCGAGGAAGGCCTGGATCGTGATACCAGGTTGTCAAGGACGTCGGGTCCGAGAGAAGCAGGACCCCGGCTACGGAGTTCGTAGCCACGATCCGTGGTAACAGGGCGAGGTGTTGCCCCTCAGCTCCCAGTCGGTTCGTAGGAAGAAGAAGAGATTAGGTACTAATTCTTGCTTGATTATTAATCATCCCGAGTATTCTTATATATAGGCCATTCGGCACTACAAATTGGAGCTAATTGCTCCTAATTCTAAGGCCTTGATCGGCTGTTATTTCCTTCTAGCCACTTGCCATTTCTTCCTGATCTGCATGCCCGGTGACCACGCCCATATCTTCAGGGCGCTACCGCACGCATGGTGACCGCGCCAAATCCTCAAGTGGCTCTGCGGCCATCCCGGCGCGCCGTTTCCTTGTATAGGCGTGGCCCCACATGACAAAAAGTTAGCTAGTCTAGGCGCTATACAAGAAAACTTTTAAGGTACAACCGTACAAGAGGGGAAACATGGTTCACTCGCTCATTCTTTCTGGAGTTCTCTTTTGCTAAGTTTCTAAACCAATGGTCACTTCTATGGTATGGTTTTGATCTTTGGTTCAGCTGAAAATATGTTGTATAATTACTGGTTGGATCGGTTATTTGAGGTTTAAGGAACTACAGCAGAAAAGAGAGTTCATGCATACTATATACTACTAGGAAAATATGTTGCTCTAAACCAAATAGGCATGAAAAAACGTTTCCAAAAGTATTAGTGATGTAGAATATGCTACCATCAACCATCCCACAGGATTTCAGCTCAAACGATGACTTTAGAACAAACCGTAACCGAAAAAGACGAATTTGAATGTTTGATATTTTCTTCTTCTGTTTGTTTCAAAAAATATTTGCTTCTTTTGATCCCCTAAAACGTTTTTTTTCCTCTTCCTCTACAAGTCGTTGCTTGAGTTGTATAATATATGATGGAATGCTTGATGGCAGTATACTGCGCGTTGATGGTTTTTGTTTCCAATTTTTCATGACTATCATGTGGCCTTTCAAGGCTTGAGATAGTTCCTGAAATTCTAGGTTGTCCAAGTGCCGCTTATACGAAGCTGAAGTGCTTGGATACGAGCCAAGAAGGGAAACGGATTCAGAAACTCTGTTGCCTAGGCGGCGGCTACGCCACTTCAGATGTGCTAGTCAGGCACCATTTCAGCCGGTTTATGAACTGACCTAATGGCCGTCTGGAGCTCAGCAAAGGGCAAACCTGAAATGAAATGCCACAATCTCCTGCGCTGTGCTCGCCGGAGCCTACCACAGCTGTCACACCCGTCATTTTCGTGACCGTCGCTGTCCCCTGGCGCGGCGGCGCACACATGCTCCGCAGACACCCAGCCACTCATCGTGCACAAGCACAAAGCGGGGGGAAAGCCGTCCGTCGTGCGCCGCGCAATCATGGCATCCCGGTCGGACGACATCTGCGGCCTTCATTAGGCCGTTCCACAACCCACGGCAGACAGGCCAGTCCGCACTCCGCAGCCACTCTAACCCTGCACCTCCAGACGGCAGACTTTCTCCATTCTCTAGAAGGTGCAGCTCTCTCCGTTCCTCGCATAATAGTCTCCATCGATCGAGCTAGTGGATTGATCTAGCTGGTCATCGTCATCCCCCGGTGGTTACTGGGGCCTTTCCGTCGAGGACGGGATGAGGGTCCGCATGGCCATTCTCCTCCTATTCCTCATCGAAGCCGCGTTGACGTCGGCGGACAGGCGTGCCGTGGACCTGCAGCGGGAGAAAGCCACTCTGCTGGCTCTGAAGCAGGGGCTCACGCTGACGTCGGCGGCGGCGGCCTTGGCGGACTGGAACGAGTCCAACAGCAACGTCTGCGGCTTCACCGGCGTCACCTGTGACTGGCGGCGGGAGCACGTTGTTGGGCTCTCTCTCGCCAACATGGGCATCACTGGCGCTATTCCATCAGTCATTGGCGAGCTCTCGCACCTCCGGAGCCTCGACGTGTCCAACAACAACGTCTCTGGCCCGGTACCGACGTCCGTCGGCAACCTCACGCGTCTCGAGAGTCTCTTCATGAACAACAACAATATCTATGGCACCACGGCTTCCATCTTCAGCAACCTGTTACCACTCCGGAGGCTCCGGAACCTCGACGTCTCCTACAATCGCATCATCGGTGCCATTCCGCTGGCCATCGGCAGCCTTGGGCAGCTCCAAAGCCTCAAAGTCTCCGGCAACTACATCTCCGGCACCGTCCCTCCGTCCATCGGCAACCTGACTCTCCTAGAGCACTTCGAGATGCATGACGACTTCATCTCTGGAGAAATACCTCTGGCCATCTGCAACCTAACAAGCCTCAAGGATCTGGATATGTCCGTCAACAACCTCACGGGGCAGATTCCAGCTGAGCTCTCCAACCTCCGGAACCTTGAAGCCATTGACCTCGGCAGTAACCAACTCCATGGAGGAATACCACCTTCCCTTTCCGAGCTCACGGCCATGTTCTATCTCGTACTCGTGCAAAACAACCTGTCCGGGAACATCCCACCAGCTATCTTCCTCAACTGCACAGTGTTGGGCCTCGTCGACCTCGGCAGTAACCATCTTTTTGGCGAGATCCCCCGTGCCATCTCGAGCACCGAAAGATGCTTGTTTGTCGTCCTCAGCCTCTACTCCAACAATCTGAGAGGGACGCTTCCACGGTGGCTCTCTAACTGCACCCGGCTGATGATTCTAGATGTGGAGAACAACTTGTTGGACGATGAGCTGCCTACGAGTATCATCTCGGGCAACCCGTACCTCTTGTACCTGCATTTGTCTAACAACCGTTTCCGGAGCCACGACGACAACAACCTGGAACCATTCTTCGCAGCACTGTCTAACTGCACGAGCTTACGGGATGCAGGGGGGATGTGGGAACATGTGTCGAGCGGGCTCGTGCCGACGTCAACCGAGCCCTTTTTGCCGAGCTGGCTCATATCGGAGCTCGCATCCCTTGGCCTGCTGCGTATCGTGCTGTCCAACAACGCCCTGAAGGGCGAGATCCCGCCGTCCATTGGCGACTCCACGAACCTCGGTGAGCTCGACCTTTCAGGCAACATGCTCTCAGGGAGCATCCCGAGCAGCATCGAGAGCCTTGCCGAGCTCCGTGTTCTCTCGCTGCAGAGGAACCGACTGTCGGGGCAGATACCAGTAGCGAGCCTTGGCCGCTGCACCAAACTGATTCGCCTTGACCTCTCAAGCAACCGCTTCAACGGCACCTTATATTAAATTAAACGCTGCACTAACTTGATGCGACTCTATCAACACTATATATAGGGTATAGGCTCCTTTTCAGAAAGACAAGTTAAGAGCGTGTTTTATACTACTCCGCTTTATTAATGGAACAATTTATTTTGCCTTCGACTCCACGAGCAGCTTGAGAGCTGAATCTGTTTTGATAAAACATTTGATAGAATAGCTTCTCGTGGTGGATAAAATAACAAAATATCTATAATACCTTTTTTCTTTTTCTTTTTCTATTTCATTGTATCTTCCTTTATTTATTTTCCCTCTCTCTGTTTCTCCCTTATCCTCTCTTCATTGGGTCATGCACCCACAATCACTTATAATTTGTCCACATCTCAAAAATATCATCTCACAAATATCATTACTTTTAATTGCATGGACATCAATACACCAAAATCCATTTAGGGGCCCAGATGATCTTTCGAAAAGTATCAATATTTATGATATCAAATAAGTATCATTAGATTTGTCATGTTATATATTTTCATAGTATACTTATTTAGCGTCGTAAACATTAATATTTTACTTATATATTTGGTTAAACTTTAGGCACTCTATCCAAGAATGCATTTAGAATGGCATTCTTTTGGGGACGGATGTAGTACAAGCAACCAATCATATTCGTAGTAAAGTTAGATACATATAACCTATATAGATGGAGGCCATTAGCAATCATTGATTGCTATAAAGCTGCAACCATAATGAGCCACGTCATCTGAATTCTAAGCACTTGGATCACCTCTATGTAACGCCATCTATCCGTCCAAACCCTCCCATTGTTTTAAGCCCTTGGATCACCTCTATTTTTTTTAAGACATCACCGGAGGGGTGAGCGCGCCCCACCTGAATGATTTTCCATTGATTCCGGTAAATCGGTAGATGGAGGGTGCACATGGCACCTTACAATGTTTGGGGGCAGGCCCCAGGAATTACATATCTCAGGGAGAAGAAGAGATAGATTATGCCATTACAAACTTATCACACCAGTAGTCAACTACCCATTTATCCTGAGAACGAAGACGGCAACTCCATTGGAGGCAGGCAGCTTTGCAAGTGGCCAAGAGTCTGGAGAGTCTTGGTTGTTGCTGCCTGAAAACCACATCATGTCTGTGGTTCCAGAGTTGCCAACAGCACAGCAGGATCATGGTGGAGAAGAGCACTTGTGGGATGTGATCTGGTCGGCGCATCTCCCATAGGGGCAGAGAGGCTGAGTCCCAACCTAAATGTGTCCAGAAAGAGCCGGCAACTGGGCAGTGGAAGATGAGATGATCACAGTTTTCAGCGGACTGCCCACACAGCTCACAAGTGTCAGAATCCAGAATGTTTTTCTTAACGAGGTTCGCCCTGCATTGGATCCTTTCTTGAAGTAGAAGCCAGCCAAAGAATTTGACTCTGGGGGGAGCGTAATTCTTCCACACGAACTCATAGGACTGACACCGTTCACCTGATTGTGTGGAGGCCCTGTAGAGCTGCCCAGTATCCAGGCGATTTCCAACAGCAGCAAAGAAGCTGTTGCGTTCATCCTGCTGTTGACGGAGGGAGATGGAGGCAATGAGGCTGTCGGCATCAATTTTCTCCTGTGCGGCCTGCAGTGATAGTCTTGGGACTAGTATGCTGTTTAGACCAGTTGAGCAGACCAAGTGAACTGAGGCTTCCATGTTGGTGCAATGGCTGAGTAGGCATGGGAAGCGTTCGGCCAAGGGGGCGCCCTCAGACCAGGCGTCCGACCAGAAGGAGGTGGAGCGACCATCACCCACTGTAACTTTGGTGATGCATCTGTATGCCTGAAGAAGATCACGGAGGGCTCCCCAGTGATTGCCGGCCACATCTCCTTCCAAGGACGCAAGATCGGCGTGCTGGCATGCCCAAACTGCCCAAGCGGAAGAGTCTAGATGGTGTAGACGGTGGAGCAGCTTGATGAGGAGGCATGCGTTTTGGGTTGCCAGGTTGTAGATTCCGAGCCCCCCATCTTCTTTAGGCTTCTGTGCATTTTCCCATCTGACCAGACACTAGGCACCGGATGTCTTGTCAGTGCTGTACCATAGGAAGGCCCTGCGTCGACTGTCCAGCTTGGCGATGATGCCAGGAGGGAGAACAAGTGCCTGCATGAGGTAAGTGTTAGATGATCTCCAACCACGGTTAATTGGGCTTTTGGATCTGCGTCCTGATCGGAGGCGTCCAACCCTACATAGTTGGTGGGTCCCCGTCACACTGCGCTATAAAAATAGAGGTGGGGTCGGCGGCTCTTTTAACGAGGTTCACCGTGAGCAGCCAAAGTCGCCCCATTTGCAGTGATCTCTTAGAGAGGGTGCGCAGCCAGTGACAGGAAGCACCATCATGAGGTTCTATTGAGAAAACATAACAAAGAAGTTCTTCTCCCCGTTTTATCAATAGTACATCTAAACTTTGAGGATAATAACTTCTTTGTTATGTTTTCTCACTTTCTCTGACACTGTTTTTCAGGACTCAACCCAATGACTTTTATCTCGCATATTCCGCCTCTTGAAGGGGGCAATTACAGAGTATGGCGAGAGAAGTATAAGCTCACACTTGCGCTGTCCGAGAATGACTTAGCACTTACCTCTCCGTGTCCTACTGAGCCAGAGGACCCGGTGAGGGCAGAAAATGAGACAGATGCTGATTTCAATGCTCGAAAGTGAGATCATGCAGAAGTTAGAATGAAATACGATCTTGATATGAAGAAATGGGACATCTCGAACCGCAAGTGCTTGATGGTGGCCAAGTCCACTATCTCAGATGCTATAAGGAGATCAATCACAGATTGTGATACCGCCACCGAGTATCTTAAAAAGGTGGAGAGTCAGTTTACTGGCTCTTCAAAGGCTTATGCAAGCACCTTGATAAAGAAATTATTCAATGAGAAATACTCTGGTGGAGGTATAAGAGGACACATATTGAAGATGAGCAACACGGCTTCGAAGCTGAAGCCAATGGATTTGGGGCTCAAGGATGAGTTCCTAATTCATTTGGTTTTTGCTTCATTGCCAAAGGAATATGAAACCTTTGTTGTTAATTACAACATGCAGCTCGATAAGTAAGATATAGAGAAGCTCATCGCAATGTGTGTTCAAGAAGAGGAGAGGCTGAAATCCTTACAGGGTGACTCTGCTAACCTTGTGAAGGACAATAAGAAAAAGAACTTCAATAAAAATGCCAAACCTCAAGGGAAAGTCCCTTAGACTGAGCATCATCAGAAGAACAACAATGCTCAAGTTGAAAAGGATCAGTGCAAATGGTGCAAGAAGCATGGACACTACCAGAGGGACTATGCAGACTTCCTGAAGAACCTTCTGAAGAGAGGTGAGGATTTTATTACATTCATAGATAAATCCTTGTATTTAAGTTATGTAAAATCTACTTGGTGGATTGATTCAAGTGCAACTATTCACGTTGTAAATTCATTACAGGGATTCCGTACGAGGAGGACCCTGCAAAGAGGAAAAAGAAGAATTAAAGTAGCAAATGGAGGTGAAGCTGAAGTTGAAGCCATTGGAGATCTCTCTCTAGAATTAGTTGATGGTTTTCTACTTAAGCTTTTAGATGTTCTATTTGCACCCTCTTTGCGAAGAAACTTAATAAGTGTTTCACATTTAGATGACGATGGATATGATTGCCATTTTGGTAATGGCAAATGTCAGATTGTTTATAATAATAAATGTGTTGGTCTTGCCTTCAGACAATACAAGCTTTATTTATTATCACTTTCTGAGAATGTGAATGATGTAAGTACCGAGAATGAGAATGCTTCCTCGTCTATGAATGCAACAAACAAGCAGAAGAGAATGCATAATGTATCTTTGAAATTATGGCACTGTCGTTTAGGCTATATTTTGAGGGGGAGAATAGAGCGATTGATTAAGAAATCAATTCTTCCGTCTTTAGAATTTTTAGATTTAGAACAATGCATAGATCGCATAAAAGAAAAGTATGTTAAGAAAATAAAAAAAGATGCCAAATGAAGCGCAGGAATTTTAGAAATAGTTCACACAGACATCTGTGGTCCTTTTTCTGTGAAGAGTGTGGATGGTTATGATTCATTTATAACATTCACATATGACTATTCTCGTTTTGGCTATATTTATCCAATTAAGGAAAGATCGGAAGCATTGGATAAATTTAAAATATTCAAGGCTAAAGTAGAAAATCAGCACAACTTAAAGATTAAGGTAGTAAGGTCCGACCGTGGGGGAGAGTACTACGATCGACACACCCCATATGGCCAAGTTCCTATACCCTTTGCAAGGTACTTACAGGAAAATGGTATAGTAGCCCAGTATTCTACACCGGGCGAGCCTCAGCAGAATAGAGTAGCTGAAAGATGCAACCGTACCTTAATGGATATGGTGAGAAGCATGATAAGTTACTCTACCCTACCGATAAGTTTATGGATGGAGGCGTTAAGTAAGTCGGTGCCCAAAACACCGTATGAGTTATGGACAGGAAAGGAACCCTCACTAAACTATTTACATGTGTGGGGTTGTCCAGCTGAGGCAAAAGTATTTAACCCAAACATAGGGAAGCTTGACTCCAAGACAGTCAGTTGCCATTTCATTGGCTATCCAGAAAAGTCAAAATGTTATCGCTTCTATTGTCCTGACAGACAAACGAAGTTTATAGAAACAAGGCATGCTGTCTTCTTGGAGGATGATATGATCAGAGAGAGCATGGTAGCATGAGAAATTAGTTTTGAAGAGAAGCGGGTATACATGCCCACTTCTATGGTTTAGTAGCCATTCTTCACGCTACCTGTTGTTGTTGTACCAATAGTACAAGACACTGTAGTAACATCACCTGTTGTTAGTTCTCATGTGGCAACCATGAATGAACATGAGGAACCTGTCCTTCAGGATCCCCTAGAACCCATTGTCACACATGAGGGAGAGCAACAACAGCCTCATATAGAACAAGCATCATCTAATGAGGCCCCTAGAAGGTCTCAAAGAGTCAGCCATTCCTGATGA